CTCTGTTCAGATGCAGCTGTGTCCTCAGAGCTAACATGCTTTTATTAGTAATCATGTATCACGGAGATAAAGCCAAAATAGCATTTTCTCCTGGACTGCTATCCACAGACATATATGAACTTACATGCACACACATCAGGAGCTGATGGGAGAAATATCCTTTACTTAATTTTGCCTTTAACTGTAAGCATGGGAATACAAATATACCTCATTGTTTAGGAAGAAAAAAATTACAGTTTCTTTTGAGGCAAAGAATGCTGTGTAAGCTGTGCGTAGTGGCGCACACCTGTAATTCCAGCACTCAGGAGGCTGAGGCAGGAGGATCACCGTACGTTTGAGGACAGCCTGGGCAACAGAGTGAGTTCAAAGGTAGCCTGAACTACATAGCGAGACACTGTCTCAAAAAACAAACAAGCAAATAACAAAATGCTGTGCAAATGAGTGACGAACAATGTTCTCAATGGATTGAAATACATGGGATCTTTCAAAACCCAGCAACAACAAACATAGGAGTGTGCTTTAGGAATACCTGTCATGAACATGCAAAAAAAGTTATCTAAAACATGAGACTTACATTTCTGGAGTCTTGGATTTATTTTTTCCATTGAAAAACTCAGGAAGTGCACGCCGTTCAATCACGTGAATACTGGGAGAAGAAAGAAAAAAGATGGAGTCTTTTTTGAAAACAATAAAATCTTAACCTCTTCACCTTCGTCACCTTGGCTTTTTTGAGATAAGGTTTCCATATGTAACCCGGGCTGACCAGAACTCACAGTGATTCTCCTGTGTTCTTCTGTGATTACAGGTGCCTGGCTTTTTTTTTCTTTTTCTTTTAATAGTACTAGAGACTGAGCCCAAGGGCACTAGGCAACTATTCCACCCCTGAGCTACATGCCCAGCCCTTTTAATTTAGAGACAGGGACTTGCTAAGTTACCCAGGCCGGCCTCAAATTCTCAAATTTGCCATCTTCCAGCCTTAGCCTCCCAAGTAGCTGAGACAGCAGGCACGTGCCCCTGTGACCAGTCATTTTTATTTTGAAGCAGGGTCTTTTGAAGTGGTCCAGGCTGGCTTTGATCCTCCTGCCAAGCCTCCTGAGTACCTGGGATTATAGCCAGGATCCCCCATACCTACTAAATTCTTACAATTTGGGTTACACTTGTTCAATTTTCAAAATAAAATCCATTAAATGCAACAACTAGGCACAACTTGTCAAAATTAATAGGACTAGACAAGCTCATCCTCTGCATTAACAGAATACAATAAAGTTAAAAAATCTTCTCCTTTTTTACCCCCAATACTTACGGGAATGGTTTCTCTATTCCCATAACCATACTCCAAACTTCTATCAATACACTAAAACCTACATATTTTATTATTTTCTTGTTGTAACGTATCATGATTAGATCAAAAGCCACAAAACAGGCATTCTTCAGAAATCGGTGGACAAAAATCAGTAGTCAGCACTGCAACGAACTGCTGAAAGGACCAGCCACAAGACATGGTTTGACATAATCAACTACTCAAGACTCTTACCTTCAGTGTGCCTTTGTCTGGACTCAGAAACACTATGATAAACAGTCATCAACTGCACAGAATTAATTTTAATATCATGTAAAAACACTTGATAATTTCATAAAATGTTAAGAGGTCAAAAGCGTGGTAGAGACCATGTAAGATGACCAGGCCTAAAGACAATCAAATGTGTTACCCATGGTATGGTGGGGTTTTTTGTTTGTTTTTGTTTTGAGATAGGGCTTTGCTTTGTAGTGCAGTCCAGGCTGACCTCAAGTTTGCCATAATCCTCTTACACCAGCCTCCTGAAAGCTGGGATTATAGGCATGCGCCCACCACATCCAACTATACAGTGATTTAAGCTACTAACTAAAGCTTGTTCCTGGTGCCACTTTAGTTTCTGAGAATGCATTCAGGATATGCAACATGTTGAGTACGAACTACAAGAAAAAGAGCTATTTTTGGACTGCGTCTTTGAATTCTAGGGGTCTGATTTTTTTAAATTCTTAGTATGTTCTAGATAGAAGTGCCCTGTCTGGAAGACAGCTGGCTTAAACTTTTTTCCCTCTTGGTGGGTTTTCTTTTCACCCTAGACCCAATTCAAAAATGGGCATCTGAGATGAATACACACTCCTCAGATGAAGAAATACAAATGGTAAATAAATATGTGAAAAAATGTTCAACATCAATATTCCTGAGAAATGCAAATTAAAACAACACTGAGATTTCATCTCACCCCAGAAAAAATGGCTATCATCAAAAAATCAACCAATCACAAGTGCTGGAGAGGCTATGGGGAAAAAGGAACCTTTCTCCACTCTTGGTGGGAATGTAGACTGGTGAAACCACTGTGGAAATCAGTTTGGAGATTTCTTAACAAACTAGGATTAGCAGTCTCATTTGACTCACCTATTCTCCTTCTCGGTATTTTCCCAGAAGAATTAAAAACATCATACCACAGCAATATAGGTGCATCCATGTTTATAGGAGCACAATTTGTAAGAGCTAAATCTTGGAAACAACCCAAATGCCCATCAACCAAGAAATGGATAAAAAAGATGTGATTTTTTTATACAATGGAGTATTACCCAGCTATAGAGAAAAATAAACTCAAGGCTTTTTTAGGTAAATGGATTCAACTAGAGACCATACGAATAAGTGAAATAAATCAGACTCACATGTATAAACATCATATTGTCTCCCTAGTGTAAGAAACTGAAAGAGTAAATAAGATAAAAAAGGTACAATATTGTGAAAGGGGAAGAAACTGCTTGAAAGGAACAGTTAAGTGTTTATACTGTTTGATCAATCTTACATGCCTGTATCTGGTAATCTGAGCAACTACTTTGAAGATAACAATATGCAATATAATAACCATTGTTAATCATCTTGTTTTCAATTCTGTATTGTTTTTATTTTTTTTAGTATCTTAAAAAAAAAAGCCAAGCAACAACAAAAAATTGGTTTACAAACAGTCAACCTTCCATCTCCTTGTGTTCTCCCCAGGAGCAGAAGATTCAACCAAGCATACACCGAGAACATTCACAACAAAAACATTTCGTCTCGGACTGGGGGTGCAGTTCAGGGACTAAGGGTGTGCAAGCACACTTGAGGTCCTCAACTTAATCCCCAGCAACGGGGAAAAGGTGAACATGTACAGATACTTCTCTTGTCATTCTTTCCACAACAATAGTCTGTGTAAACCATTTCCAAAGCTTGTACTGCATGCTATAAGTAATGCAAAGATAACTTAAAATATATTGGAGACTGGGCCACGAGGATTGCAAGTTCAAGTCCAGACCAGGCAAGCTGGCAACTTAATGAAACCTTCTCTCAAAAGCAGAAAGGGGGCGGGGAGCTGTAGTTCAATGTGTAATTCATGTATCAGGTTTTGTTTTTTTTTTCCTTTTGGTGGTACCGGGAATCAAACTCACGACCTTGCGCTTGCCAGGCAGGCTCTCTGCCGCTGAGCTATATCCCCAGCCCCTCATGCATCAGTTTTATGGGAGCAGAGTCTGAGGGCTCCAGCCAGGAGGCACAGCCCAGAACCAATCCCCTGCAGACAGACACCAGGGATGGCTGCACAGGTACCTCCCACCAACTCACTCTTCTATCACGAACATTCACACCCGTCTGGATCTGTACTGCCAAATACTGCACACACTCTGGAATATGAGAACACTAGAAAGACAATTTCTAAGACAAACTAATGCTATGTAGACATACATGAAATTACTTTAAGCTTATGATTAGTTGTTAGCGACTAATAATATACTGTAGTTCAAATGTAACTCCCATTGTTTTCATTATTACAGGCTTAGAGGAGCCCAATAAAAACCATTTCTTTGCTCACCAACAGTAAAACACAGGATAATCTCTATGACCAAGTACTTTTTCAAAAGCTCTGAAGTGCTCACAGCTAATTCCTCAGGTGCTGAGAATGAGGCATATTCAGGGAGTACAAACAGTGGAAGAAGTAAGTAGGATGCAGAGAGGATCAGATACTCCAAGTACTTCCAATTATCAACCCCGAAACTCAAACCATTCATTCGAGGTGGCGCTAATCTCATCCATGAAACAGTTCGATGTGTATAGCTAATATTTCCACTGCCAGTCTCACAACACACACTATAACATGCAAAGGTGATCACACAAATCAAATTGTTTTTGTAACCTACAAAACGCTACATACTGTTATGACCTTTCCTTTTTCTGATTTTGAGCTAAAAGAAAACTAGTTCTTCACACAAGTCATCTCAAGCAATTCTGCTAGCGTGTTCCTAAAGTCTGTCAAGCTTAATGTAATAAAGTAACACTACTGGAATAAAGATATCTACCAAAAGCCATCTAAAGGCAGAATGTTTTTAAAAAGGCGATTACTGCTGGGTGTGGTGGCACATGCTTGTAATCCCAGCACTCGGGAGCCTGGGGCAAGAGGATCGTTGCGAATTCGAGACTAGACTGGGCTATAAAGTGAGCTCAGGGCCAGCCTGAACTGCACAGCGAGACCCTGTCTCAAAAAGACAAAAAAAAAAAAAAGGAACTTACTGTTAGCCGTATGTCACACATTCATTAGTATTTCTTTAATTAAACTAGAATAAATTATGAAAAGGTTTCATTTATCTACATAAATACAATCTTATTAAGGAGGAGAAACAAAAATATAAATTAAAAAAAAATTTTTTTTTAGAGCCAGGGTCTCGCTATGTAGTTTAGGCTGGCCTTGAATTCACTATGTAGCCCAGGCTGGCCTTGACACAGCAGCGACCTTCTTGCCTCAGCCTGCCACATGCTGAAATTACATGTGTGTACCATCATGCCAGGCTTAGTTCAACAATTTTTGAGAATTAAACAAGTACTTACAAATAAGATACTTTCTGAATTTTTAAAAATATTTAAATGAAAATGCAATGGAAAATGACTGTCAAAGAGTTATATACCTACTATATCTCAGCTTATAGTTATTAAAACCATTTGCAATAGCATTTAGTTAGTTTCAAGACATACAGAAAAGTCTCAGTATTTGAGCCATATCTTGGTTCTGGATAAAAATAAGCCAACAGCTCATGATGTATGTATTTAGTTCTTTTTGGTACCGGGAATTGAACTCAGGATCTGGGGCTTGTCAGCCAGGCCCTTGTGCCACTGAGCTATATCCCCAGCCCCTAAACTGTCTTGTAAAAAATTCTACAAAGGGCTAGCTCAATGGTAGAACATTTGTCTGCCAGCCTGATGCCCTGGGTCTGACACCCAGCACAATCAAAAATAAACATGTAAATAAATAATATTCAAAAAACTTGTAGAGACATATAGGTAACATTAAAAATAGCACTTATCATTAAAAAATGGCATAATAGTCATTAAGAGCAGGTGAAAAACAGCTAAAACACCCCAAGGTTTGAATAGCAGTATCACCAAAAGTACAGACTCCTCATGAAGTTATGTTAAAGAAGCTAAATCAATTGGGGAATGGGAGGCAAAATTTGGTATTATATTTTAAAAAAAAAACCTGAGACTAAATAGACATACATGATAAGTGTTAAATAAACAGTGTCCAAGATGTGTTATTTCCAACCATTCTCCAAGGATGTTACAAGGGTTGCTGTGAATGACAGGGAGATCTAAGAAGGCCTGTTTTCTTGAAATATTTTTTATATGTGAGGATTTATATTTTAAAACCCTCCTAGGGGCTGAGGATCTAGTTCAGCAGCACAAGTGCCTGGCTGGCAAATACAAAGTCCTGAGTTCAATTCCCAACACACACACACACACACACACACACACACACACACCATATAGCTCAGTGGCACAGCGCCTGCCTGTTAAGTGCAAGGTCGTGAGTTCGATTCCCGGTCCCAGAAAAAAGTTCCCCCACCCCAAATGTTACTGCTTAAAATACAGTTACAGCTACATATGGTGGCATAGGGTATACCTGTAATGTCAGTGCTCAGGAAATTGAGGCGCTAGGATTAAAGCCAGGATGGGATGAATAAATGAGCCTGAGGTTAGCCTGGACTATATGACAGAAACTGTTTCAAAATAAATAGGTAAAAAAGTAGGAGACTGGGAGACTCTGGGAGGCTGAATCTTCAGGATTACAAATTCAAGTCCAGACCGGGCAATTTAGTGACTTAGATCCTGTTGCAAAAGGGGGGGAGTAGAAAAGAACTGCAAAGGCCCTGGGGTCAACCTACAGTACTAAAGACAGAAAAAAGATGGGTGGAAGGGAGGGAGGAAGGGAGAAAATTACTGGGTACTGAGAATGATTTTCAGTTAACACACTTAACATTCTAAAAAACCACACAATAAACATCAATATTTTATAATTATTAACTACTCAAGCATTTGCCTCTCTTAATTATAGCTAAATCTAAATGATTTGAATTGAAGATTAGAAAAATTTTCAACCCTAAGTTACAACAATTTTCTTCCTTCAATGGTTTTAGCGAACATATTGCAAAGAAACACATCTCTTCCACCGGACACAGGACTTGGGCAGAGTGACACAAGCTGCTTTAAAGGGCAGTGCTCCCAGGACTCAGTTCCATGCTTGAGGGGTGGGGGTGGCAAGCAGCCCACTCACCAGTTATAATCAAACCACGAGGCGTAGCTGGGAATAATAATGTGATTGGTCTGTTCGGTGACATTATCTTCACCAGGGTCCACTGACCGACCCTGATCACCTTTGCTAGGATCTTCATCTTCCTACAGAAAAGAAGCCAAAGTTCAGAGAAAGAACTACAGAGTGAATATGAAACACTTCAGATATTAGGTCAAATAAAAGGGGGCTAGATGATTTAATCTCAGGGGCCAAAAACAATTTTCTTTCTCTTTTTTTTTTGTTTTTTTGTTTTTCTTCCGGTACCTGGAATTGAACTCTCGACCTCGCGCTTGCCAGGCAGGTGCTGTGCTGCTGAGCTAAATCCCCAGCCCCCTAAAACAATTTTCAAATAAAAACATTTCACAGCTTTTAAGATACAAAATGGTCAGCTGACACAGATTTTATTTCTCCTTTTCATAGATGAAGGAACAAAAGACCAGTATCTCATAAGATCAACTAGCAAGTTAATTGAAGAAAGGCTTTTTCTATAATCAAGAATTCAGCTTTCTAGCCCAAATCTCTGTAGTAACTTGTTACTTGTCCAGTTTTACCTATTCCCAGGTCACAAACCTAAATTACTGCTCCTTCAGTCATCTATGAGGAGGCCAACGGTACTACAAGGCACAGCGACTAGACTGCCTCCCCTCTAAACACTGAACACTGGGTACTAAGTCTTTCACACATTGTACTTGTATTCCTTGATACAAGCCAATAGTTACTTTTAAATAATATTGCTAACTCTAGTTTATGTTCAAACACGTTCAGTGGTCCCAAAACTTTCCTTCTCAATCCTAAATACTTTCCTTCTCAATCCTAAATTTAAGAAATATGAACACTGTATGTAATGTGAAATCTTTTAATCAGTCTCCCTTTTTCTTGCGAATTTAAGGACTAAATATTTTAATAAATGTAGACCCATCATTTCTGAGTATTTTAAAGACTTAGCCAGGCATGGTAGCACATGCCTGTAATCCCAACACTCAGGAGGCTGAGGTAGGATTACCACGAGTTCAACGCCAGCCTGAGCTACAGTGAGACTCTGTCTCAAAACAAAAAACAGTACCTTAAAGTCTTTATCTCATTGGTGCTTCATAAATAGATTAGAAGTAAACATTTTTATTAGGAATAGTACAAGAAGCAGTACTATTTTCAGGTTTTTTTACTGCTTTTTTTTTTGGTAGTGGTTCTGAGGATTAAATCCAGAGCCTTGCCTATGCTAGGCAAGCACTCCACCGACCCAGCTACAACCCCAGCCCTTTTCTACTTCTGAGACAAGTTCTTGCTAAATTGCCCAGAGCAGCCAATCTGAGACTTTCCCGATACCTCAGCCTCCTGAGTAGCTGAGATGACAGGTGCAGGTCAATGTGCCTGGGAGGAAGTAAGTTTTTGACAACCACATGTTTTCCAGTTTTGTACAGTTAAATCTATCAACCTTTCAACTGTGGCCTTATTTTTAATCTTACAAAAAGGAAAAAATCAGACTAAAAGTACTGCAGGACAAGACACTAGGACCATATCGCTAATTCTTTTAAATTTAAATTATACAATACGACGTGTAAACAGATTCAAATCTCCTATCCTTGGTATTCAAAAAAATCGGGCTGGGGACTTAGCTCAGTGGCACAGCGCCTACCTGCCAAGCGCAACGTCGTGAGTTCAATTCCCGGCACCGGAAAAACAAACAAACAAACAAATAAAACAAAACAAAACAATCTTACAAGTTGTTTTGCCTTTCTGTTTTGTTCTCCATTTACTCTGTATAATGACATCTTTTTATAAAAGTCATGTTTATTAATGAATAGCTTTTTAGCTAAAGAAGTCTGATTTTAAAGAAAAAACATAACACCACCAGGGTGTGGTGGCACACACCTGTAATCCCAGCACTCAGGAGGCTGAGGCAGGAGAATCACTGCCAAGTCTGAGGCCAGCCTAGGGTACAAAGTGAGTTTAAGGCCAGCCTAAGCTATAGCACAAAACCCTCTGAAAGACCAGAACAACAAAAAACAAAAGAAAAAACTCCGTAATAGGAGAGAAAAAACAAATGCATAAGGAGTGCTGTGGTTTTGGCTCAATGGCAGAGTGTCTGCCTAGCATGCAAGAAGCCCAGGTCAGTCCGAACTCTGGAAACAAAAAAAAAAAGAACAGCAACAGGCGGAAAAAAAACTTTTTTCGGTGAAATGTTTCCCCTGGAAATCTATGTTTATTCCCTGAATATATATGACACATTGTTGAATGTCAGTCTGGGCATTCCTATGACCAACAAAGAAGAGAAATCATTTTCAGCATATTAACCGATTTTTCCAAGAAAGCCAGGGGTCAATTACATTTATTAACACAGGGGCATAAGACTGAAACAATGGGGCACTTACTCAGGCAAGAGCTGTGCCACTGAGCTATACCTCCACCCCTGGGGCACTTATTCAGACGAAGCAAAGTAAATCCCTGCCTTACATCTAATACCTTCTGACAACGTGATGACTGCTGTGTCTTGTACAGCAGAAACGTTGAAACAAGAACTAAGTAAAGGGCCTGGGAAAGGGCAGGAGCACAATGCGAAGTCTGTATTAGTTGTGCATTAAAGTTATGTGAAAAAAGCAAGAAAAGTCAAGGCCAGCCATGGGCCCTGCTCGTCTGCACTATCCAACGCCACATGAACAGTGTGGTCGGCTTTCCACTCGAGGGACTGTGAAGCCAGAAACTACACCAGGTGAGGGATGTGACGTGAGAAGATTCCTCTCAAGAGAAAATTTTAGAGACTTAAGACAACTATTCTAGAGACTATTAAACAGAAGACTGAGCTGGGTGTGGTGGCTTGTGCCTACAGCCATAGTTTACTCAGGAAGCTAAAGCAGGAGGACTGCCTGAGCCTGGGAGGGAGAAAGGCAAGGAGGGAGAAGAATTAAAATCAAAGGGGCCTCAAAACAGATTTCTAAGGACACTTTCAATTCAGTATTTCTACTCAGTACACAAGACGGTAGAGAATATGTTCTTGGGCCAAGCCTTAGTATTTACCTTTCCGCCTGCTGTAACGGTTTCTTCATCCTGCTCATCTGCAAAATCAAAACATGTGATTTAAAAACAAGCCATTGCTATGCAGGTTATCTGAAGTCCTTCCCATCTAAAAACTGATATGGACAGAGAAGAGCAATGAACCACAGCCCTATTAAGCATAGCTACCCTGAACATCTTAGTAAACTGTAATTTTACACAGAAATACAGAGGCGATAGAAATGCAAAGTATAGGTAATATAAAATTTCCAACAATAAGGAGTTTATAATTAATTACTACTTGAGCTAATATCATAGTGGTGATCTTCCTTAACAGGGAAGGGTTTTGGTGAGGGCTTTTGTTTCCTAAGAACGGGTAAAACAAAGCAGTATTTCAGATTATTGAGGAAAGGGGGACAATGCCAGATGTACGACTTAGTACCAAACAACTGGTCACAGCAACAGCAACTCCAGAGTGCAGACCAGCACAGTACCAGTCACCAACGGATGCCACCCAGCACTGCAAATGAGGCCTATTTTCTTCCTGGCAAGTTAACTAAGAGAAGACATCTAGGTAAGGTAGCCAGAAAACAAGTATTTTGTCCACTGGACGTAAGTAAACCACAGGATAACCAATTTCTTCTAAGTTAACATCTCTATTAGAAAAATAATTTTAGTGAGTTTTTCTCCCTGACGTAGTCTCTGTATCTGTTGGAAATTAACACACTAATAGCAGGGGCAGCCTTTTCTAAAAAGTTAGTAGTCAATTAGGGTTCTCTTCCTCTTTCTTTTTTTCTTTCTGGTTTTTTTTGGGTGGGGGGAGTTGGTCTCACAATGCAGCCTGCACTGACCTAGAATTCTCAATCCTCCTGCCTCAGCCAAAGGCCAAGATGAAAGCTCAGGACAACGATTTAAAATTCAAAGGCTAACTCTGACTGCGACCAAACGCATCTTTAGCCACAAGACTCCTGAACAGCACCTCATAAACTGCTGAAGAGAACAAAGGCAAAAATAATTAAATAAATACTAACTGACCAGAAAGGGAGAGGGGGCATCCTATTATACCCACCACTAAAATCTTCCAGTTGGGCCCCCAGTTCTTCCCTAAAATTAGTTTCCACTGAACTCCATTGATTTCCTCAGTTAAACTGAAATTTTCCACTCGAATTATTCAAGTTATAAATTGATACTTTTTCAAAAAAATCCTTAAACTAAACTGTCACTGTTTAGCAAAATATCCCAGTTAATAGCATCAAGTTTGAACACTTCACTCTGTCAGTTTATTGGGAATACAAAAGAGATGACAGCACATAATTAAGTTTTGCATTGCCACCAATTCAGTAGCTAAGTATGATTACAGAACAGGCAACATAAATTTATAGAGAATGTAAATAAATAAAGGCTATTCAAGGTCTAGATTCCATTAATGATGTCAAAACAAGAAAGAAGTGTTTTGATGGTATCTTTTTTCTTTCTGTTTATGTAATACCTCCTTTATACCAACTGTCATCAAGACAAAAGTAAAATCATCCACCAACACACACTGCCAGGGCATAAGCCAGGAAATACAGAAATGCAGGATGTATTTATGTATATATTATTCACTGCAGTACTGGGCACCATGCCCTGAGCCTTATATATACTACACTCTTATAAGTACTCATCACTGAGCTACATCCCCAGCTCCTTTTGTATTCTGAGACAAGGTCTTACTAACTTTCCAATGGTAACCTCAAACTTTCAGCCATCCTGCTTCAGACTGCCAAGCAGCTAGGACTACAGACATGTGCATTTAATAAAATGAAGTTGAAAGACTTCTGCAAACACCCAATGCTATCTGCCATCAAGAATCAATGTGATTTACACTGGGTGCAGGGGCACACCCAACTGGGAAGCTGAGGGAAGTAAAAATAGAAATCTGTACACGTTCACCAAAAGCTTTTTAAAGTATCTTTTCTATGTGAGGCTGACTGAATCCTGTATGCAGAACCCTTGGGTAAAGAAGATCTACTGTCTGCATGAACTACAAACATGTGCTTAAAAAACAAAATAGATATACTAATTTTTTTTTTTAGAAAGATCTAGTGTTTTTTTTAGGTCCCAGAGTACATTTCTTGAGTAAGGATATATAGGATAGCAACTATGTACACATTCTATTAGATATTTAAGTAATCTAAAATGATTTAAAGTATGTGGCAGGGGCTGGGGATTTAGCTCAGTGGCAAAAGCGCCTGCCTGGCAAGCGCAAGGTCGTGAGTTCGGTTCCCGGTACCGGAGAAAAACCAAAAAAAAATTTAAAAAATAAAAAAATTTTAAAAAATAAAGTATATGGCAGATGTGCTGAGGCTATATGAAATTCTACGTCATCTTTTAAAAATGACGTAGGAGGGGCCTGGGGATTTAGCTCAGTGGCACAGCGCCTGCCTAGCAAGCACGAGGTCGTGAATTCAATTCCCGGTGGGGGGGTGGGGGGACACGGACCATAGAATCCAAAGATTTTGGTATGCATAGCAGTAATGATACCAAACCCCCATGGATACTCAGACTTAAAAGGATAGTGTTGTTCTCATTTTATATGACAAACACAACAATTTGGCTTACAAAGTATGAACAGTTAAAAGCTTTTGTTCTGAAGATTCAAATTCAGCCAGGCAAGGTGGCGCACAACAGTAGCCCCAAAACTCAGGAGGCTCAGGCAGGAGCATCCCCGAGAGTGTGAGGCCAGCCTAGACTACATAATGAGCTCAAGGCCAAACTGAGCTACATAGTGAGACCCTGTCTCCAAATTAACAAAATAAAACAAGTCAGTTTTTTAAAAGATTCAAAATCTGCATGTATGTTATAAAACAAGTTTTCAGGAAGATTACGAAAGTATTTTAATTAGATTCATTTAAAACTCAAGTACCCAAGTCTGAGTAAAACGTTACCACTCTGCTGTTTGTAGAAAAGCACCGCTCCTGAGGGAGAACTACTGAGCATGGAAACAACAGATCACGGGGAGCTAACTTTGTTAGCACAGTAGCAACAAAATGGTGATGGTCCTGAAGGCAGCCACAGGATTTGGCGGGGTAAGCACAGAAACTGAAAGCAACAATTGGCTGGAAACAAAGGAGTATTACAGGAGATGATATAGGGAAGAGAGAACAGACAACTGGATGTTGTGTTTACCTAGATCTGCTACAGTTCCTCCTTTAACAGGTGTATTTTCACTATCTTTCTTTGGGTTTACTAGAAGACAAAACAGAAGCACGATAATTTTTAAAAAGAAAACAGAAAAGAACATGATCAAAAACTAGATGCATCTCACTGTATCTCCAACATAATTCATTACTCACCTTCCTGCAAAAAGCACAAGCCCAGCTGCAAAACATTAACATTTAAGAGACTATATGCTCTACTTACTTACTCAAGCAACAATATATTTTCATTATAGAGACACATTCATGTGACAACGTGAAAAGAATTTGTGAGTTCCTCCCCCAAATTTTTTGTGCATTTGTTTTGATTCCCCTTCCTGTGCCATTAATTCATTCAGACAGATCAACAAGAAAGACCTGACATCCTTTATACACCCACATAGATGCTGAAATATAACCTCAGTTTTTTAACCCATGTATGTAAGTTATAGAAGTGTTATCAATACTGTGTTCATTTCTTAACACTTGCTTTTTCTCATGTAACAGTGTGCCTCTGTAACCATTTTAGGTACAGAGTTTGAACTACAACTCCTTCATTATTGTATGTCCACTGTGCCCATGGGTACATCAAAAATTAACTAGCTCTACACTGACAGCAACTATGCTTATTTTCAGTAATTCATTATTCAGTGAACACCATTCTTCATTGTCTGCACATGTAGTTACCCATGAATACTCAAACGCCTATTATAAAATGTATACATTTCAAACTTTCATAGACACAGCCGAACTGTGTTACGGTGCCACATCAATTCAGACGCCACCAGGAGTGTTGAGAGTAGCCATATTCTCAAAATATTCATACTTTTCCATCTACCTTTTAAGTTCTGCAAACCATCATAGGTTCAGTGAAGTTGGCAATCTCTTCACATACTGACTGCCTCTGTATTTCTGATAACTTACTAGCAGGTAAGACTCTGACTTACACTCTATCAGGTCTAGAATTTAATACGCTAGTCATGTGCTTATTAAATAAATATTTTCTGCTAGGCTAATACCTATCTGAACTGCATCAGGACTTGAAGTATCATTTTACAGTTTTTTACTCATAAAGTTTAAATTCCTATATATGACATAGAAAGAACACTAAATTTATTGTGTTTGTGGAACAGTCTGACCTTTCCCAATAATGTATAATGCCAAATTTACCAAAAATGACGTTCATAAAGAAACATAGATCTATTCTAGAAATAACCATTCTTAAATGATTCAGCAATTCCTGCATCAAAAACAAATTATATTAATTATCACCAACTTCCAGTTTAGGTAGTTATCTGTTGGGGTACTATCACTTCATAGCTCTTTCACTTTAACCTTTTGACTATTTCTGTAATTATTCTCTCTCTAATCAACTTTAAAATATACTGGCAAATTAGAAGCTTTTATTGCTAAATTTTTTATAATACAATGGTTTTTAGGAATACACATAATATTTGAAAGAAACGGCTATTTTTTGTATCTGAATTCCTAAAAACACAATTGACTGATTTTGTTTTATTTGAGAAACGGTCTCACTTTGTAGTGCAGGCTGGCCTCAAACTTGTGGTGATCGTCCTGCCTCAGCCTCCCTAGTGCTGGGATTACAGGTGTGTACCACCATGCCTGGCACAATTGACTGTTTACAGGAAAAAAGGAACAATGAAAAAAGACGTCGGTGGGATGGTACCACATCTGAAGTAAAATATACATAAACATCAGAAAGATGGGAGAGGGCATGAATCAAATCATATTCTGGTAAACTATATTTTTTAGTTCAACTAGATGAGTCCATTTTTTTTTTTTTGGTACTGGGAATCGAACTCAGGACCTTGCACTTGCCAGGCAGGTGCTAGTGCCACTGAGCTATATACCCAGAGTCCGTTTTAAATGTATTTTATATGCTAAACATACAGTAATGGACTGAATATTTTGTCTCCCAAAAAATCATTTGCTGGGCCCCAGTCTAATACGATGGTATTTGCAGGTACGGCTTTTGGGAGGCAGTGAGTTCATGAGGATAGAGCCCTTATGAATGGGACCAGTACACTATACGGAGAACTTCAGCTTGTTAGGCAAGTGCTCTACCACTGAGTTAAACACAAATACACAGAGACCCGCAGTACCAGTGCGCCATCTTGATTCATTTATCGTCTGCTATTTTCAGTCTCCTCATCCATCCAGTCTCCTCTTACTTTCTCCTGTAGGTTCTTTGTATATTTGAAGCTTATCCCATTTCTGCATTAATAAGATCCAAAAAGTTTCTTACACTTTAAAATTTCTCTGCAACTCTTGAAGTATAATGGTACTGTTTGCCTAAGTTCTTTCCTGCCCTTGCATAAAATTCAAATCAACATAATTACATGCTTTGTATACATCTTACTCTAAATTTCAAACTGTATGTTTTTTACTTTTTAGATTTTTATTGCCCATAGAAAGAAATACAAAAAATGAAGAGATGCCTTGTAGAGTAATTCAGTCCAAGGACTTCCTTTATTTTAGACCACATTGGAAAAAACTGATTTGACTTCCGATAACCAAATAAAGTTCTAACTTTTCCTATAACTTTATATCAGCAGTTAAAAAAATAAAATCAAAAATAGTTATCAACTTTAATGACTTCATTTCTACTTCATATATTTCTACCCTCTAATGTAATTCTGCATTGTAGAGTCAAATAATGTGCAGTAGAGCTATAACATCACCATCTGACCTATGTGGTCTCTTATTCCAGAGCTATCCTCACCAAAAAGGTGGGTGGTGAGGAGGGATAAATTAATTAATTAAATGCCTATCATGTGTCTTTTACTTCTGGAGTGTACCAGACTTTATTTTTGAAAATTCATTACGTGTTCACTAAGGACACGAATGAGTGGTGGTCAATTAAAAATAAACCATGAACATCTAAACTTTCTGAGCACCTTCTGAACTTCATCACATAACTTACATTATCAACAACTGATTTACCACACTTAACCTATAAAATTTAATACTGGAACTCTTCAAATTTTCATTCACATAAATCAATGCCTAGAGGTTTAAGCAGGTTTAAATTACACTTGAATATTTCAGTTTCTGATACAAATATTAACTCTGTTGGGATTAAAACACTATCAGCTTTAATGCTTATAATTACTTGCTCACAGTATATTTTCTCAACAAATGAACAGCAAGCATGTAACAAACAATTAGGAAAGAAGGAATTTCAAAGGGGCTAACCTTGAAAATGGGAATCTATTCATATTTGAAAGTTCAGAAGTACAGTGCAAACCAAGGTGTAAATTATCCCAAGATTGCACACACCTGTAATCCCAGCACTCAGGAGGCTGAGGCAAGACGATCACTGTGCATTTGAGCCTAGCCTGGGCTATACAGTGAGTTCAAGGCCAACTTGAGCTACATAGAGACCCTATCTCAAAAAAAAGAAGAAAAAAAAATCATTCTCATGAAGAATACAAACCATTTTTGGGGAGAACCACTTCCTCTATATTGGGTACTGGCGTTGGGTCCTCCATGTCCTTGGTAAGATCTTCTTGCTCATCTTCCTCTTTTTGATTTCTGCGCTTCCCATAAAGACTAGCTTGGCTAAAACATACAACATGTATAAAATGTAAAGGAGACCGATTATAGCTACTTACAACAAATAATTTCTCAGCACTAACTTTATTATTGTTATAACCTATGCGGAGTCACTTTTAAAGCCAAATAGTAACCAAACAAATTAGATATATTCCATCTAACCAGCTTTTAAAAAGACCAAAAAAAGCTACTGGGTGTAAAGAAATATTGGGTATAAAGGGTGGCCAAGTGGTTAAGGCGATGGACTGCTAAGAAATATGTACAGAGGAGCTGGGCCTGTAATCTCAGCCCTCGGGAGGCTGAAGCAGGAGGACTGCCACAAGTTTGAGGTCAGCCTGGGCTACACAGTGAGTTCAAGACTAGCCTGAGCTACATAGCAAGACCCTGACTCAAAAAGAAAAGACAACCAGGGTGTGATGGTG